CAAAGTCCAATGGATTGATTTTAACTTTTTTTGGAATATTATCATGGCAGTTTGTTTTTTTTCAGACAGTACTTATTACATATTTTATTAAAGGGAAATTGATGTTGTAAAAGTTCAGTTTCGGTCAGAACCCACCAGCCAATGATACAAAACTCGAATGGAGGTAACTCTCCTATAAAGCCAATTGTTTACTTTTAAAATGACCTAAGGAGGATAGTTATGACCATTAAAACCTCAATAAAGTCCAATATCAGCAGAGCATTGTAGTGGGAAAAAAAGTATCCAACTATTTACTCCAGTTAAATAAACAGAGATCGATGGATTTCACTCAGTCGGCACTTTATTTTATCTTTGCAAAGAGAGAACAGTTCATCATACGGCCCTTACTGCACGGTAATCAGCCCTGTTCTGATCTGCGCAGCGTTCATTCCTCCTTACTAACAATCATGGAAAGCTGTCAGAGTCAAAACTAATTAGAGACACTTTGGTTAAACAGTAACATGTTAAGAATAAACTTTGAGAAAGAATCTGGCTTTTTATGGGAAGAAGTATGTCTGGTCTACAAACCCCCTCACTCAGGCATTGTGTGGCCTTGCAGGTGAAACAAGCTGAGTGAAAACTTTATAGTCAGTAAATAGCATAAAGCAGTATATGAAATAAGATAAATCTACATTTTCTGACCACAAGCATTCTATGATCATGCACAGAAAAATCAAAATCTCTTTCATTTTGACAGAATCCAAATAGTTTTGGTTCCATGCTGGAGCTGTCCTGGAGATGATCAAATACCATTGATGTTGAAGAAGGAAAAACTAGAACATTCTTAAAGGATGGAGATGAAGCAAATTATCAAAGGTTTGATATTCTGGTGTAAAAGAAAAAATATACCCTTCAGATGAAGTAAATGTAGAAGTTAACAGAGCTGATCTTCTCCCGACTAAATATGTGTGTACATACATTAACGGTACTACACAAGTTGAAAATAGAGAAACTTTTAAACAGTATTCTAATCAATTGAGCATGATGTTTAATGATGATGAGATAAAGTAAAGATATGTTGTACTAATGTCTTATTACATCTTCTCCTCAGGCCACTGCCAAGGAGACGGATACAGAGTGGGTTTTGGACTCTGCAGAGGAACCATCCTCCCGGCCCTCAGTCATTGAAACATTCTGTTATCATTTTCTGGAACAAATAAAGAAACACGTGACAGAAAGCAGCAGTATTTGTTGTGTATTCTGGCTTTCCTTTCATCCTTCAAGATATCAGCACTTTTAACCCATCCCATGCTGCTGCTACCTTACAGGTTCATGATGCTTATGAAAAATAGTTTATAATCAATTGATGGATAATCACCAAGTTGGTTAATTTATCAGAGAATATGAGTTTCCTCACAACAAAGAAACTTTACTATAAAAATATATTTTAAAAAAACAACAGGAAATTGAATATTATTCTTGCAAACATTTATGTATTCATGTTTCCGCTAAATAAAGATTAAATTTATTCAAATAAACAAGGTCTTATTTCTGGTACAATGGTTGTTAAGTGTTCATTAGGTTGATCAGAACAAACTGTCTCCCTCTGTTGGTTGATTGTTGCTAAAAGAACTCTGTAGCATCAAACTAAAGGATAAGTGGGGTTTGCAAACATGCTTTTTTCTTATCCATAAACCTGTAGAAGTTCTGGATAGAACAAATGGTATCCTAGATGATCCTTTCTGTACATCTCCTCACTGCAGTCTGGACCTATTTTAGGATGAGGTCAATCAGATCCACAAGCACAGGACAGATTAAATGAAGGTAGTTTAGAAGATTACCAGAAGCTCAGTGCCATCTCTGTTTATTATACAGCGCCAATTCACAACACAAGTCAACTCAAGACACTTTACAGAGAGAATCAGATTGGTTAAAGGTTTCTATCTAGGAAAACCATCTCATTGCATCACGTCATGGCTGTGAAGGACATGATCCTCCTGGATGAGCTTGTGGCA